TCACCGCGCGGTTCCTGATAAAAGATGTTCCCGTTCCATTACAAGTTCGGACATTTAGGAATAATCTTTCAGCAAGAGATTGGACTTTATAGAAACACTACAATTATATAACTAGATTAACTAGTCATTGCATAAAACATGCAATTTAGTACCAGTACCTTCATATACAAGCTGCTCAGTGGGTTGAAAAAACTGTACATTCTGTTTGCATTTAAAACATTTTCATCAGTTTTTATTTCTTTCGTTGTATATCTTGTTTTGAAAATCTGTTCCTGCTTGGATCTCTCACCTCTTCAGGTTTTATACACATGTCATAACGACCTGTAATCGTAGGCGACAGAATTTTTTAACTACAATCTTAGTGCAAGTTATCAACATTAAATTATTAGGCATATGTTTTTTTACACAATTATATATACACTAATACAACTAATACAGTAAAATATTGAAATAATTAAGTTCACATCATAATCTACGCAGAATATCATTGTATCCTGGGTCTCACCTACTTTTTAATTTTATCTTAATTCAGTTTTCTTCTTTTTAGCATTGTCTATTTTTATTTTTGGTTGGGCTAGCACGTATGATTCCTTGTGATCCCTTCTAGCCTTTTCCCGCTGTTTTTCCCCTTTCTTTGGTTATTATTTATGATTCGAAAAATAATTGTCATTCTTTTTTCTTCCGAAATTAATTTTCAAACAAGATAATCACAGCCGCCTTATAGAATACTTCAAAACCAACAGATTTAGTGATGTTTTACATAGTATAATATAATACCTTGAGTTCTCTTTGAGACATTAAATGTTAAAAATACTGTTTGTGGTAAATTTAGCAAACAAGTCTGACTATAGCCTCGTTTTGGTGTTTTTTTTCTTCATATTTCAAAGGGCTTTAATTTCGCTTGCATGGATTGTTTTCAATAAACAATTTTTTAACTTTTCCACTTTGCCTTAAATAGCAGTATCTAGATCTGTTGAAAAATTGTTTATTAGCCTGGTAATGCATAAAATATATAAAAATAATGCGAAATTGTGCTAAAATCACTTTCAAAAGTTGTTGGGACACATGCAGTTTTATATTGTATGTCGATCTATACAGTTTGTTACACACAATACCGCCCCCCCCCCTCCTCCCCCCCCCTACCCAAACAATGTTGCCTTCTCAATTCAAATACCAAAACTGCGTCAAATCTGACGAAAAATGGTACATAACATTGAATAGGGGGCGGGGGAATGGACGTTTGTTCGGATTAAAGGTTTTTTGTAGAATCTGTCCCAAGACATTTGAAACTGATCGTAGTTAGTTTTGAAATCGACTAATTTTGAAATCTTAGTCTTTAACCTTAAGTCTTTTTTTACACGCGGTGAAAATGGATTAAGTTAAGTTAAGTTAAATAAATTAAATTTAACCACGTAGATCAAGCTAAGAAACATTGCAAAACGATATAAATTATATAAACATTAAGTTTGAAAAAATTTGTAGGATGACTGTTGAGTCAAAGCAATTTTTTTGCAGGTTCGAAATCAACCTAATTACGTCCTTTATTAACAACCACAGGCTGCCCCATCGGATGATAATACTGGAACCCAGGCTTCGCTGACAAATCGCGCGGATATTCGTCTTTGGTGACGTCATTGACTTCGCAAATTTTGTTCAACTTGTCGAAATTAAGAGATCGACATTTGTTCATCATGCATACGATTAAACACTGTGACGTATCTTCGATCCCATCATCCTTTGCAATGACATGGTTGACCAAAGCAGTGTTTGAACCACCAACTGGGGCGAATAACAGCGGAACAGATCTGAATGGCGCGAAAGCCTCGTCTGAGTGAAAAATATAAACAATTTTTAAAATAGATCGTACTGTTAAATTTTAATGAACTATAAAATAAATATATTAACTTTAATAAAATAATCAATAAACAAACTTAAAATTTAAACAATTTGAATTTTGAAGAACTTAAATTTTTAATATCTATTTGGATTGTATTGCGAAGAAAATTCAAAATGGCCAAATGAGGTACTTTGCCGAACTATCTTAATTTAATTGCGTCGTTCTTGAGATATTCAACATTTTTTTATATTATTGACTTACCGAAAAAACGTCAAGATCGATATCTTAGGATATCGTGCATCAAAGTCAGAAAACCAGGTATATTACGTATATATGTTATTTACGTCAACATACTACAAATATATGTTAAATGTCGCCAAATTTGAATCAATTATCTATAGGTTAGCACTATTTTCCATCCAGCAAACTGACCTGCCGTTATTTTCGGAAGATGGGAGAGGTGTTAAATGGCTATGTAACTGACCCCAAACCCTACCCCTACTGTAACCCCTAACCCTAACCGCAATTCTAATTCTAACCCTAACTGAATTAATGAAAAAATCCAACCTTAAATCCAATCTAACCTTATCTATAACTATAAGATTTGTGAAAAATTTTCAGAAAACCAGTGTACAATTTGACGACATGCTGTAGTGAGGATAACTACTATAACTTGCATGTCGAATATTGTTAAATATCTACCCTGAAAGCAGAGTCTGCTTTCACCTCGCGTAGAAAATAAGGCTCTGCCGTTTTTGTGTTTTAAATATCTCAAGAAAGAAACAACTTAAGATAGTTTGGCAAAGTATCTTACTACAACACTAGTCCACTATGCGAATTTATTGGCGCTGAGCGACTTTTTCCCAGTTTCCCTTGTCGGCAGAAAAAGCGATGCTGACAAAGGAAAAAGTCGTTCCGCGCGAGGAAATTCGCCAAGTGGAAAACCAATTTCATAGAAGTGAAGACTTACTCTTCTTATCATCCTCGAAGCAATATCTGGCAGCGAAATCAAGCACAGTGTTCACCAGACCATAGACATACATTCCTGGGCAGTTAGTGACATCAATGTAGAGAGCTTTGTAACAACAATTTCCATCGTAGTGGAAGCAAACTTTTCTTCTTACGATGCCGTCCTCAGGTTTAGGATGCCCATCAGGCAGCCAGCCTGGGGCACCTGTGCCACATGAGGAAGGTGGAGGGCACGATGTGGTAAGCTGGAAGATATATGGAAATATAACACGAACACGAACACGAACACGAACACGAACACGAACACGAACACGAACACGAACACGAACACGAACAATACACATAGTCAAAACATTTCTAGGCCAGCAGGGACGTCAGTGGTGCAGTCATTTGAACAAGGGGTGGCTCTTCAAGGGAGGCCTTGAGGCATGAATCGCATGAAATATATATTAGGCCTACTCTGGGACCTAAAATCACCTTAAGTTAATTGCCCAAAATCATCTAAAGTTATCCAAAATTGCATAAAATCGCCTTGAGGTTTGGCAACATTTTGCCAAAGTCGCCGTTTAGGTTGCCCTAAATCGCCCAATTGCAAAGTTACAGGGACTTTAGGTCGCAGAGTAGGCCTATATTCATGGATCACTGAAACGCCATTTCCAGCATTTTAAAGGAAAATGGTAACAGCAATTACATTTGTCTAACTTGAAAATTACTCTGGGCATGCCCGCAGACCCTTACTCATCTCAAAACCACCGTCCCCCCAACCACCACC